ATGTGACTGAATGTCTCCCGTATACTTTAGAACGCCTGATATGATGAAATAGTTTTTCGACTTCCCGCATGAAATTGAACAGTTGATGAGTTGTCGCGCTTCATTGAAGTGAAAATATAGATTGGAACTTGGTATGCCGGGAGCGCACGGTACGACAAACGCTGTGTTTTTACAGATGATTTCGCCTAGTGTTTGTTTTGTTGCTCTGCATGCGATTTTGGCTACTGCTCCCCGGGCGCAACTGTAGCATCCTGTTAAGGCGGCGTTTTGGATCTCACAGAAGTTATTTTGAATCTCTAAAATCGCGGTATCGACCTTTTTCTTTATGCTGAGGATTAACTCAGCGGACACCATCTGTGGTATTTTTGCTATTATGTTGCTATTGTAACTTTTCATTTGCCACGAGGCTGTCTTGATAGGCAGTTTGTGTTGGATCTGATTGAATTCCCTTTCAACATCGTTTTCGGGACATTGACATGCAACTTTGTTTTCTGCTGCCGTACATCTGCAGTTATCCGCCAGGGTGCATGCAAATAAAGTTGCCGCGTTGCTTGAATTACATACGAGATCTGGCGCGACTGCGGATTTCCACAAGGCTGTGTCTATGCCGTTGGTGATAAAGCGATCATGTAGTGATGGAATGGGCGGTATTGAGATGGAGGTTAATGTTAGGTGCAAGTCTGGAAAGGGGACTGGAATGTTTGGGATTGCTGAGACGACAAAGTGTTGTTTCCCTAAGCGCAAATCCTCTATATAAATGTCTAGTTTGACGTCTTCTCTCCATCGTTCGCATCTGAAAATTTCGTAAACGTCGGAATTTTTTGGTGTAGCGTAGACCCTGTAGAATAGACAACCTGAGCTTGGGTAAAAGCAATCGCACCCGAGTCCTCCACAGGATTCTAAACAACCCGTTCGACCCGGAAACTGATTTCCCTGCTCTAGTTCAGGAATTTTGCTGCTTGCGTTAATCGCGGCGCACTTTTCTCCTGTGCATGATCCCATGTGGGGGCACCGTTTACTGTCTATGACCTGTAGGTTAGATGCTCTGGTGAAAAACAACGTTTCTTTATCGCAGTATAATCTGAGTCCTTTCCAACGCACCTTTATGTTCTCTATATGGGAACCATTTTTTGTCAGGCGTAAGCACGCTTGCTGTTTGAACGTGCTTAGTTTTAAAACTTCTTTGATTTCGATAGAGCATACTTCCTTTCTGTCGGTTATTTCGCATACGGTCAAGCGATGTTCTAAAACGTCTATTTGCTGGCATGCGAAGGCTGTGCTCATGAAGGCTATCAATGCTACTACGGCTAATGCTTCCGTAAGGCGTGCTGTTCTTGATCGATGTCGAGGTTTGTAGCGATGTCGTAATATCGCGCGAACACAATGCCATCCCTTGAGCAACAAGAGTTTGATTATCATCATAAACAGCCAGAAAAGAACTCTTATGGGCTTCCCGATAGTTACTGGTACATACAGTGCCAGATAGATCGCTGCGATAATTCCATATAGTATGAGTGCTAATGAAATGATGGCTCCTATCGGCCAGCATTCCGGGTTTAGTAGCAATGTGCCACAAAACCAGCAATCTATGTTGTCACAAAAACTTAGTTTGTCGCATACTTTCTGTGTTGTTAACGTACGACCATTGTCAATCCATTTCAAGGTGACTAGATGATCATGCAAAGTAATGCCTGGTGAAAACTGCACTCGAATTTTTCCTGTTTGTAGTTTTTGGAATCGACATTGATTATCCGCGCATATTTCTGCGGTAACATTTTTTGATGTTTCGATTAATAGTCCGTCTTTTTCGCAAGTCAAACTGATGGTTTTTGCTTCAAAGGAGAGTATGCCCGTGATGCAGGAAAACAGCATCAAATAAAACAAGAACCATTTTGGTTTGCTTTTGGCGTTCGCCTCCTGTATCACTGAGGTTACTGTGCTATCCACATAGCTTATAGGTTTGCGAGGGCGCAAGTCGTAGTTATGAGAGCTAGTTTGTTTGTCTTTTTCCCTGTAAGGGTGTTGTTCATTATCTTGTTGTGCATCCTCTGGCCGGCTGTCTTCTAGTTCTAAAGGGATTAGGAGATTAATCGGCCTTCGCAACTTTCGTTTTTTGTGCGTGATCAATTCTGCCTCGCGTATTTCGCCTCTAAGGTTTTTGCGCAGAGCCGTGATTCTTGCTATTTTCCATTCGTTTCTTGGGAGAACTGGGTCACTTATCAAGACTACATCATTTACCCTTGGGTCTTCTTTGCAATGCCGTTTACTTGAAATATTTTGCTTGTGTTTTTCCCTTAGGCTTGGGAGGTATTGTTCTCGCCATATTTTCCAGAATTTCTCCGTGATTGCGCATGAGGCTTGTAAGGCTTTTTCCGCCTGCATTCGCGTTTCTAGAGCTTGCATTTCTTCCCGAGTGTGATATGTGGTGTCACTCGGAGGCTCACTCTGTGAGTAAGGAAACGTCAAGACTACATCGCGCTGCACAAAGTCGATAGGGCGTATAATATTCAAGGACTCTTGATCTGATCCCTGGTACGTGAGGGGGCGCGAGTTCAGGCATGCCTCTATCTCCGTTATCACCGTAGTCAAATGATCAAACGAAGAAATATTAGCTGGATGTATGGCTTTGTAGAGAGCGTGCTTTATGGATTTGATTAGCCTTTCGTAAAATCCTCCTTGCCAGGGCGCATAGGGTGTGATGTGTCGCCATTCAATGCTGTGGTTTGTTGCCGTTTTCAGTATCTCTGGATTTATATCCGGTAGCTCTTGATCCGTGAGGATGGCTTCGCTCAAGAGGAATGTAGGTGCATTGTCACATGTTATAGAATCGGGGACCCCTCTGCGTGCTATGAATCGGCGGAGGGCGTTCAAAAATTCTGTCGTTGCCATGCTCTTTACCACCTCTAAGTGGATCAAGCGTGTTGTGGCGCAGGTAAATATGCACCCGTAAGCCTTTGTTTGATCATTTCCCTCTGGTATGTTGGGTAGATCAAAGAAATCCAGACCAATATGCTGGAAGGTTCGACTCTGTCGAGTTCGAAATTCTGGTAGGCTACCGGAATCCGGGTAGGGGTAAGGTAAACCATTGAATTTTTTGCATTGAAAGCAAGTGCTTACGAGATGCCGTACTTGTTGACGAATTTTTGGAATCCAATAGTGTTCTCGAACTTTTGCGATAGTGTGTTCTATTCCTAAATGATATGTCCCGTGCGCTTCTTTCATGAGTAGTGCCGCTAGTTGAGTTTTTGGCGCTATAAAGATTGGAGTTTTGGTGTCTTGATTTAGGGAGGAGTTTGCAAATCTTCCCTGTGATCTCCAGATTTTCTCATGGTCTTGAAATAGTCGAAGTGTGTTTTCCATAGATCTTTTGTAGTTATTGGACAAGAATAAGCGTTGATGGTCCCTTATCAACAGTACTTCCGCTGCTCTCATTAGTCCTGCATTTATGTGAGTGGGTAGGTTGGAATTTTTCAAATTGCATATCTCTAGCAATTCGTTTTCAATTTGTTTTCGTCTTTCTGGCGGCAGACCTCTCATGCATTTCAAAAGGAATAGTAGTAACCAAGCTGTAATTCTTTTAGCCTGTGTGAAGGTGCTGTACCTATCTAGTTCCACCAGTTGTTCCGTTGATCTTGATCCCATTGACTGTTCAACGATAGAATTTATTACCGCTATCTTCTCCGCACTTTTGATAGTTACGGGAAAGTCTAAAGTTGGCCACTCGGAACTGTGTTTCGTGAGAAATTCCGGACCGTGCCACCAAATGTGGTTTTCCATTTGTTCCTTTGTTAGCCCCCGCGTCCCTGCATCTGCTGGGTTATCGCTTGTGGGCACGTATTTGAAATATACTGTAATTCCCGCTTCCTGCAAAACCTCTAGAATTCTATTTACTTCCGTTACTCTGTTGTTGACGAGGACACCTGCACCCTTCCGATCTTGGGTCGTAGAAATCCAGTGTAAAGCTATCTTTGAATCTGCAAGGATGTATATTTCTTTAGAACAAGTGTCGCTGCCTCTCCCAATTGCATTGAAGATTGATAGAGCTAGCCTGACCGCCATCGTGAGTGCGTTCATTTCCATTTTTGGTATTGTGGTCTTCCCTTGTATTGATGGAAATTTGCACTTTGCGGCGATCAAGGTAGCCGTATCCCCTCCAAAGAGGTAGGCGCATGTAGCCATAGCAATTTCACTGGCATCCGCGAAAATGGCCAACTTCGCCTTTTGTGGAACTCGTCTCGAGAAAGATTTTTGAAAACCATGTGCATGCTGCCTGATTTCATTCCATTCTTGGGCAAGAGGAGCAGGAAGTACACTGTCCCAGTCAAACTTTTTCTTCCACAACTCTTGCTGGAATCTTTTTGGTTTTGTTAGAAGTGGGGTTAGCCATCCAAAGGGATCATATACTGATGCAATTTGGCGCGCGATGATCCTTTTGGTGACTGTTTTCGTAGGTGGGATTTCGCAGCATATTGATAAAGTATCCAACTTCGTTTCCCATTTGATTCCCAGAAGCTTCATAGTCGTAGTTTTTGCGCATGCTTCTTCTGGCAGGGTTTCTTTCAACTGAGTGTCATTTGACGCAAATTCCCTCAAGTTCATTTTCATGTGCTCAAAGATTGCGCGGGCTCTCGATGCTTTTATCCTTGCCTCCTCTAACGTTTGTGCCGACAGTATGAGATTGTCAACGTAGAGGTTTTCTCGAATCTCTTGGGCGAGTTCATGGTCTTCTTCTGAGTGTTCCAAATGATATTGTATGGTTCTGCCCAGTAGGAATGGCGATACATTCAATCCGAAGGTGACCCTGGTAAAGCGTAACGTTTTTACATTATCACCTTCAGGAGGGAGTGTAACGTCATGAACCCAAAAAAATCGGGTGACATCCCTATCATCCTCGTGCAAGTGAACCTGAAGGAATGCCTTTTCTACATCTGCTGTAATCGCGTAAGTTGGAATTCTGAAGCGTAAAAGCAAGGTTATCAGTTCCGGCAATATAAGCGGACCCTGATGGAGTATATCGTTAAGTGATGGGCATTGCTTGTAATGTGATGAGGCGTCGAAGACTATACGTACTTTTGTAGTTTCTTTCTTCGGCGTAACCACTGGTTGATGTGGTATATAGTGAAGCAAACCTTGGGCTGGTAACTGGTTGGGGATTTCTTCTATTATTCCTTTCTCTAACTGATCTTGAAGGATTTTCTCATACTCTTGCAGTATATTTGGTTTGAGTTTCAGCGAAGATAAAACGCTAGTCAACCGTTTTCTCGCAATAGCTTCATTAGTAGGTAGCGGTGGGTGATTCTCTTTGTATGGGAAGCGGACGTAGTACCCATCAGGTCTTTTTTGAATAGTTTCGTCAAAGAATTCTTGCACTTTCTTGTTGACCGCCGCTTTTTCGGCGTTCTTGGTACCAGTGAACTCACACACCCCCGATGAATCTATCGTCCAATACTTTTCCCATTGTTTGAGCTCATCATCAAAATTGACTAGAGTATTTATCATTGCGCTTATAGGCTTCTTGATTTCTCCGCTTTGAAACTTTTCGCTATGCTGTTTCCCGCATATCAAGTATCCCAGTTTTGAAGGGATCAGGTGCAATCCTGACGGTAGGGAAAATTTTGAACTAGGTACCTCCAAGAAGTTCCACAGTTGATCACACCCTAACAGAATTTGTGGTTGAGTTTCCTCATTTCTCAAGGATTTGGATAGTTGTAGCTTATTGCGTGAAATGAATTCTTTATCCGCCTCGCTAAGTTGCGCCGTTTTCCCTTTGCTAACCAACAATGGAGTAGCACACAACTGAACTCGGTGTTTTTTATTTTGTTTATCCCATAAGTCCAACGTAGTTATCGAACATTTTGTTGGTATGGGGTCAGCATTGCCGAAAGTATACATTAGCAACTCCTGAGTTGCTGAGCTATCTAGCCCTAAGTCCTTCGCTAACGCTTGCGAGATAAATGACTTGTC